GCCGACATGGGGCCTGAGAATCAGTGTGGCCGAATTCCAGGAGCCTGCGTGAGCTCTCGGAGACCTTCGTATTTCGTAAGGTCCACAAAGGTGGTTGGATCCTCTGAATCTGAACTCTGCGGGGCCCTCAGAGGCCAGCATGTCTCCTGGCACCTGCCTGCGTTGAGTTGAGGCCCTCCGAGGCCGTCGTAGGGTTCTTCAGAGGCCAGCGTTGGCCCTTGAAACCTTCGTTAGGCCCTAGAAGCCGTCAAGAGGGCCCTCAGAGGTCAGCATGGCCTCTGGAGCCTGCCTGCGTCGAGGCCCTCAGAGGCCGTCGTGGGGCCCTCAGACGCCAGGCAGTGTGGGCCTTTGGAGCTTGCGTTGGGTCTTAGAGACCATCGTGAGGGCCCAGAGAGGTCGTCGTCAGGGCCCGCAGCCCCTCAGGGACCGTCCTGGGTTCCTCAGAAGTTGTTGTGAGGGCCTTTAGATGCCTTCGAGAGGATCATCAGAGGTCGTCATGAGGGTCCTTGGCCATATTGAGGGTCTTTATGGGCCGTCTGAAGCCAAATGGGCCCTCAGACTTGATTTGGGTCTAGGGCCGTCACAAGGGCCCTCAGAGACCGTCGTAGAGACCCTCAGAGGCCAGTGGGGCCCCTGGAGTCCTGTGGGACCCTCAGCGGCAGGCGCGGATACAAGGGGGGGCCATGGGGGCCATGGCCCCCCCTTGGCCGATTTTTTTCAAAAATAAAATAAAAAGTTAAAAAGTTAAAAAGCTGAAAAGGGGGCCTCCTGAAAATAAAGTGGCCGAAATCCGATGAGTTTTTTTTTTTAACCTACCCACTTAGTTATTTCTTTGAAGACTAGCTGAGAAGACTTCTTTGTTAGAAGATTGGTAAAGCTTTTCATAACTTGGAGGTCTCTTATACTCACAGAGATGACCACTTTTACAGGGCCTCCTAACCTGCACAGAGGGCCTCCAAGCCTGCACAGATGTTGAGATGTTGCCTGAACAGCTAGATAAGCTCAATAGACGCAGTTTTTTTTTGGGGGGGGCCAACAAGTGGGAAGATGGGGCCTCCAACAGGTGGGATTATGGGGGGGGGGGGGGCCTCCTGGTTTCTAATGGCCCCTCCCTTGGAGATTTTCTGGATCCGCCCCTGCTCAGCGGTCGTCTTGAGGGCCCTTAGTGGTCGTTATAGGGCCCCAGGGGACAAAGCCCTCAAGTGGGAGCCCTCAGAGATCGTCATAAAAGGGCCATCTGAGGCCGTCGTGGGGCCCTCAGATGCCGCGTGGAGCACCAAACGCGGCTCGGGACACTTCTAGCCGGTGTGGGGGCCCCAAAGACTAGCACGGGGCGTTCCTGACCATAATTGGACATCCCGGATGATTCCACATCAGTGTTCGTTTCCCGATCACTGGTTTTCAGGAGAAATGTATTGGATGGTGCGACGGGCCCCTTGTACGGATTTTGGGGGTGCAAAAACATATGTTTGCACCCCCATGTTTTTCGATGGGGGTGCACCTGCACCCCCTGCACCCCCTATTCCGCCGCCACTGAATTAACGTACTGTATCACTTGTTAATTCTTCAAAAAGCAAGCTCTGAGCAATAACAGACTTCTTTGCATTGCTGTTGACAATTTAAGTTGCTTTTGGACGGTGGCTCGCAGCCCCAATATGCTGCCGCGTAACTCTATTCCAACGACGAAACGGCAACTTAGCGAGAATCGAAAATTTAACGAAGTAGGTACAACAGGAGCTGGCAAGGCTCCTGCATTGGTGTATCCGTCATGAGTGACACACCGGGGTAATGTGTCACGTCAGGGCAGAGCTGTGTTCTATGCCGGGTCTGGATTCGGGTCTTGATCGGCATCGGTGGGCACGGCCGCCCTGGCCGGACTGCCGGCGTCGCTTATGCTCGAAGGATTGGATAAACGGCGCTTGATTTATATGAGTAGGTACTCCGGCTAATGTCTCTACTCATGTCTCACTTCGTCACACTGTCAGGGTGGCCACCCTGTCACTCCCAGACATGTTATGTTTTCTTTCGACCCGCTATTCTAAGTTAAAGGGACCCTCCCACCTTAACATTAGTTTTGAGTTGAGATAGCCAAATTGGTGGCCATGGCCTGAAAATACCGGTTTGGGCATTCACAACATCGAAAAATGCTTTAATTCGGAGATATGGAATTTCAAACTTGCAGTTTTCGGATTCTAAGGGGCTAATGCATTGGTATGCCCCCTTAGAATTTGTGACGTCAGCGGAGATCTAACGATTTTTAAATCTTTTACTAAAACGTTTGGCAGCACGCGGTGGTATATGCTGCTTTGCGCGCAACAAATGCCGCACTTTCAAATAAAGTCGCTAGGAACAGCGGAGATCCCAAAAAGTAAACAAAAGTAAAAGTCTAATATCTTGAAAACCGGTGAATATTTTTCGATGAAATTTGGTAGATATTCATTTTTGCTCTTTCTGAACCGAGCGACATCACTTTCATGCCAATTCATTAACTTTTTTGAAGGTGGGAGGGTCCCTTTAAACCTGGCGTCGATTCTGTTGCCCCAGCATCTGACATCAACGTATCTGAATAATGACATTGGTGACGCCTATGCTCGTCAAAGCCACCCCCAAACTTGGGCCGATGACTGTCGGGTATCCTCCATATTCTGTCCTTGTGCATACTGCATTGCCAGCCCCTGCTGTACGTATATCGTGAATTTTCGATTCTCACGAAGTTGCCGTTTCGCCGTTGGAATTGGTTGGAATAAAGTTGCGCGGCAGCATATTGGGGGTGCGAGCCACCGTCAAAAACTAACGTAAATTGTCAACAGCAATGCAAAGAGGTGTGTTATTGCTCAGAGTTTGCTTTTTGAAGAATTAACAAGTGATACGGTACGTTAAGAAGGCAGCTGTATTCTTAAAACGGATTGTTTCGAGGCAACTGCCCGGAATCATTCAGTATTTTCTGAGCTCTGCTTGAGTTATTTTCTATACCATCGACACAGACCACCGTGGCAGACGCACCGATGCTGCACTGAAACTTTCCGCCCCGAAAACATGGGATAGCTCACCCCGATCGTGTGCAATAAGACCACGCACTTATAACTTCCCACCGCCCAGCCGGCCGCCCGGCAGATGTCGTGGCGCGCGGTGCCGATAAGGCGCTGCCGCCGGCGCGCGGCGTCGAGTTCTCGCCCTTATTGACACAGGCCGGTCGGCGGGCGTAACATGGTCCTATTTAAGCCGTTTGAGGAGCCCCTAACAGTTAATACTTTTCAGAAAAAAGGGCATCATTGGTCTCAGAAAAGAATACCGCACCACATGAGCCATGAGCCCATATACTTTTTCCAAAATTCGTTTTTTTTTTAACAACCCTAGTGGCTATGTGCGCACGTTAAACTTTGGACTCTAAATTCTGCCATAGAACTGGAATTGCGCGATCGGAGGGTAGAGGGCAGGGTCACCGCAACAAGCTTCGCTTAGCGGTGGCTCTGTCCTTGTGAGTCCTTCCTATCAGAGGGTTCGGACTAATTTTTTTTTTAACATTAGGTCACCGATGTGAAAACTTTGAGATATACGAATTGTTCATACTGATTTCCTCATGCAAAAGCTCGAGTTTCAAACTTCTGGGATAAAACTGTAGGAATGACAGAGTCACAAAGTTTTTTGGAGGCATGGCTACTTTACCTGGTGACCTGACCTTAGGTGACCTGGTGTCAAAATTTTCACACATGATGCGAAATTGAGGTATCATAAGCCATACCAAGTTTCGCGGCGGTGCGCGCCGCGGTTTTCTTTACACGCGCAAAAAAAAACTGGCGGGTGTGGCCAGAAACACCCCCTCCCCCCCCCCCCCCCCCACTTGGGCGAAGGCTGATCCTGAAATATAATATTTGGTCTTCGCGGCCCTCCATGTGGTCCCCAGAAACTTCAGAATCGTGGTTACGCGCCTGGCTATGACATAATCCACTCCCCGGCATATGAGCATTGCTTTCATACGTCGCTTACATGATTTCGTGGCGTAGTTTTGTGTTTTCATGGGCTTTCTATGACTTCACAGGTGACGTTAAGGTGATCCATAAGGGCCGTCACTGTGTGTCGTTAATAACTCAATGGTGGCAATGGCAATAGTGTCCCAAATTTAATTACCTATACCGTACCATGTCATGGCATCATATCGTATTGCCTCCGAAGTAGTAAATCGCATGGCTCACCCAAATGAAATTAAAGGGACTATCCCACCCTATCCCACCTTTAACATGGGGTTTGAGTTGAGATAGCCAAGTTTGCGGCGAGGTTCAGAAACCACTATCTATCTAGGTTGCAACCCCCGCGGCCTCTTGGTGTTGAATAAATTCGTTCCCTTCATTTGAAAATGGGCCTTGTACAAGGCCCTATCTTCAACATGGAGCGACCGTTAGTGTGACGTCACCTCGTTTAGTCATTCTGATTTAAATGGGTTTGTTCGTTGAAAAATCGCTTAAAACTTGGTCTGAACTTTGTTGTGGTGCCTACAGAGTAAAAAGAATCAGCTTTATGACAGTAATGTGGCCTGGGGAAGGAGGTAATTTTGGGCTGTGACGTCACATATTTGAAAGTTTGTGTTTGGAATATGGGAAGCCCAAGATGTTTAATGAAAAGTAAATGCCAGAACCGTGTTCCTGGTCATCCAATCTATAAAGTCGGGCACAATTTAACTGGTTTTAACAACATTTTAGAAGGTGGAATAGTCCCTTTAAGTGATAGTGAATGCGAGATAGATTCACATAATTAATAATCGCAGATGCTCTTAAAGGTAGTGTGCCAGCTTTCTTGGACCATATGGAGTTAATGACCCGGATAAGGAGAACCGGATTTTTAGAACTTATCCATACCTTCAAAACTTATGGAAACGTCTTAAATTCTTCAAATTTTGACTCGTGGTCGACAACGCCTGTCGCACACCCTGTGTGCTTAATAACTGGTGGATCACTTATTGTAACCACTTTCCTTCAGCGACTAACGGTTTTTACCTATTGCAGGACGGCGTGTTTCCGGATTCTCTCGTTAGTTTACGCCAAACTTCTGGTGGTGGTCTGCATCGCGTTTCTTATATCCGAGATCATCACCGACAGTGTGCCACTCTATTTCTACGAGGTAAGCCGAAAACACCATGCCTATGCACATGGGCCTATAAATGTCAAGGGCTCCATTCAACACAGGTATGTCACAGAAGTCGAAAATGACGATTAAGCTGGTCAGTGATCAGTGCTTGGACCCAACTGACCGGTGTCTGTCTGTGTGTCATCGGCAGGCGTTCTTCACCTACCTGTACGGCGTCAGCATCCTGTTCCTGCTGTACGTTCTCGTCTACCTGCTGCACGAGAGCAGTACCAAAGTCGGGAAGCAGCAGGAGGGCTCCGGCTGCTGCGGGAAGGTGAGCGTCTCACCGAAACACGGCACAGTTAGTACGGACAGCGATACCTTTCCAGAGTATCGACACTCTGTACCTATATACAGCGGTATCTGGGCACACACGGTGGTAACTGGCGCTCCGGCACAGAGGGTAGGGTCACACGATATTCAGTGTAACTGCACCCGACGTAAACGCTTTACATTTTGAGGTTTCAACGGCGACATCCGATATAGACGGCGGTGTGTTTTCGGTGCGAGCCGGCCCTAACATCGCACGCGCCGCTGCAGGGATCCTCGTGCTGTGGCCGCGCCTCGCGACGCCGCGGGCTCCGCAGTGGCTCCTACCAGGTTAACCCGAGTGGTGACCCCGGCTCTGCCAAGGTACTTACAGAGTGAATACTGCATACCTGCCAGCCAGCCTGCCGTGACCGCCGCTGTCCAATGTGCCAACTAACACACCACCCCGTGCTGCAGATGCACGGAACCGCCCATTAACGTGTCCTGATTGATAGAGGGATGGAGGCTACCGTCAGCGACTCGGTCTGCTGACACTTGCCTGGATTATCATTAAGCGTCCTAATTCCTAACAATGCGATAAGTCATTTAACCCTCGCCGGCCGAGGGGGGGGGGGCGGGTGCCGCCCCCCCCCATAGGGTTTTTTCGCGATAGCTCCGAACACGCTGGCGATAGAGAGCTGAAACTTGGCATACCTGACCTTTGATCCAAGCCGGATCTTTTGACACCAACCGCATTTTTGGGTCAGGTCAGGTCACTGACCTATGACGTCATAAGTGAACCTCTGCACGGTCTTCAGATGTCGCAACTTCGCAACGCCCTCACTGCCAGAGGAGATGTCACAGGGAAATGAAACTTGCAGGATTTAGTATCCATTATGAGTCCCACAACTTGTATATCTCGGATTTTTCCTAAAGGTCATATGAGGTCAGGTCATTTTTGTGACCTCACCATTATAAGTCAATGGGGAAAAATTCAAACTGCTATTCTGGCGCCGGGAACGATCTCCAACTATCTCAAGCACACAGAATCGTGATTTGATGCACTCCTTGCAAGGTTAGATGCGTCACTTTTGCAATGTTGACCTTGCGTGACGTCATTTATGACGTCATCAAGGTCAAATTAGTTTTTCGTCAATAACTCTTGATCAAATTGAGCTAGCGAGTCGGGAAAGGCACCAATGGACTCAGGAAGGCCTGCCGAATCGAATGATATGCGACATGACCTCTTTCGACCAACTTCGTGACCTGGGGGTGCTGACCTGACCTTGACCTGAGGTCAACACCCCAAGTTGACCTGACCCGGACAAAAAGTATATCATTCGACGCGCCTGAGCGAGACGAACACGATGCTGCCAAAATCGGCGCTCTGCGGCCGTTTTTTGCGAAGTTATTCACCAAAAACTGAACCGTACCCTGGGGCACTTGACCTGACCTCAGAGGTCACCGGTTGACCTAGGACCTTAAAATCGGGTACCAATCTCTGCGTCTCGTAACGGCGCACACGCTCGTTTTTTCCGCGACGCGCTAGCTCCACCAGGGGCGAAACGGCGAGGGGGGGGGGTCGTACCCGCCCCCCCCCCTCGGCCGGCGCGTATGTAGAAAACCAATAGGTCCGGCGAGGGTTAACCTGATGCATATCATGCGAGTAATTAATCAGTCGCATCTCTCGGAAAACTCTGGTGTCGTATGACCGTATGTATCATAATCCAAGGCTCCTGGCTCGAATGTCTGCACAAACATGTCTGTTTGTTCGTGTCGAATGTCTGTACATGATCTGCACTGTTTGCTGGAGGGTCTTGTTTGTTCACCTTTGTCTGGTCACACTGGTCGGTACATACTAACGCCGGGTCGAAACGGGCCAACCATGTGCTGACAACATGGTATTCACTCTACAGGGGAAGTAGAGAGTCGCAAACGCGCAGTTTCACGGGGATGAGCGAGGGGATTTAAAACAGGATCTCGGTGGTGGTCGCCGTCTGTCAAAAGGCTCAGCACCAACGAGGCAACGTCGATCATTCAGCATGACCGTTTAAGTACCTAGCAAGCAACAGTTGCCTTTCATCTCAGCGTCGTGCTGTGCCACCCGAAGCCACTTCACAAAGCTTCTTATGAGCTTCTCTCAAACTTTCTTCCTATCCTGTTAAGCTTTTTAGCTAATAAGTTAAATTATCTGGTGATAATGTTATTTTTACTTATTATTTATATGACATATCCTGCTTGCATTTATTTGTCCGGCTGAAATGATTTCGCATCACACGAGCCTGGTCACTCCAGGGCAATAGTGCCAGAGCTGGAACGCTTCTCTCCTTCCCCCCCCCCTCTCCGACCATCGCCGTATAACAGTAGTGACCACTGACCGCCTTCACCCCTTTGCGCGGCGCTGTGCCTGAGTGCTGAACGCTGCTCGCCTCACACACAGAAGGCCAAACCGCCCGCCGATGTGAACCTGAACGACGGCGCCGGCGGCGGCGGCGGCGGCTCGCCCGAGCGACTCACGCGCGAATGTCGACCGTACAAGACCAAGACGAGCGACAACGAGCACAGCCATGGCGGATTCTTCCTGCGGATCGGCGCCATTGGTGAGTCAAAGAGTGTTCTGTGGTGCGAGTGGGACCCGTTTACAAGGTTGTGTTTGTCAACTGTTGCGCATTAGTGGAACATTGGAGTTAGGACACGCGTATGCGTATAAGTTTCGATGTTCCGAGTGGAATCCCAGTTTATTTTTTATTCGTGAATCACTTCAATTTAACCTTATGAAATAGTTGTGTTTGTTGCGACAGATCGAGCAAGTATTTTATTTGCAGTCCGTTCTGCTTCCAGTGTCTACGTTCCAGTTGATTGTCCTGAATTAACGTGATTGTTTTGTCCCTGCCAACTGGTAGTCCCCCAATGACGTCTTTCGGCCGACCTCCGGCAGCGTTCGGGCTCGGAACCATGGTGTACAACGGCCTGGAGCTGGGAACCTTCTTCGAGATCCCCGAGGACTCTGAGTGCTGGCAGATCCTGATGGCCGTCAACCCCTGCCTACAGGCCACATTCACATTCATGCAGATGTACTTCATTTTCATGAACTCTCGGGTAGGTATTGCCGAACGGGTACTGAATTTCGTGTCTGGAAACGATTTATTGTTACATAAGTTCGAGGAAGAATCAAATCAATCTTGTCCAAATTCACCAAGGCTTTGCATAACCAATTATTTTCAGTGAAGTATGAGATCTAAAACGTCATCCCTCCCTCAGCACGACCAGGACCTACCCCAGTAGGGCCCGGGTTCACTGCTGCTGCCAGCTTCCGTCAAACTTTGACGTAGTCCCCGCATCGACGGGCACCCTGTCGATGTGCGGGAGTGTGTGAAATTTGACGAGCTCGGCTTCATTTAGCCGTCTAACTATATCCGCGAGCGCCCCATCGTCAATTCTGTGGGATTTCTGTTAGTTGGAGACATTTTAGCAGCTCAGCTGTCATGTTATAATCGACAGGCTACCATATTGACTACGTGTGTCTGTTATTATTTGTTTGCTTATTTGTGTTGTGTATGTGGTCTTCCTATTTGTGTGGTGTGTGGCGGTGTTTGTCTGTTTGTTTGTTTGTTTGTTTGTTTGTTTGTTTGTTTGTTTGTTTGTTTGTTTGTTTGTTGGCGGAAGTACATTCGCGGCGTCTGAATTCCCTTCCCTTCGCCCGCAGCTCAACATCCACAAGTTCAAGGTGGTGGCTCGCTGCGGCCTGATGCACGTCGTGGCCACCAACGTGTGTGTCTGGCTGCGCACGGTGGTACGCGAGAGTCTGCGGGTCTACACGGACCACAGCCGCGCTACGGGCGGCCGACGCACCGAGGACTTCCTCATACTCGGTGAGAGGACGGCGGCGCGAGGTCCTGACGCGTCCGGGGCACGACGATTTCGCACGTTCTGTATGCCATGACTTTACCCGGGAGGAGTGAAGAGGGGGCAGGTATGCCTACAGATGAGTCGGAGGTGATCTGGTGCCCGTTTTGGCCTTAGTGGTGCTGTGGCTTGTATCTGGGACTGCGGCGTCCTCTATGCTTCTGTCGAACCGGGGAAGTGTTTTGTGAAGCTTGTGGGCGCTCTAACCATCTCTGACTAACCTGGGATGTGTTGTGTGTAGCTATCGGGCGCCTCCTACTAACTCGGACTAACAGACCCGGCTAGCCAATTCTAACTGACCTTAGAGGTGTTGTCTGGTGTGTGGCTGTTGTGTGGGTGTCGGGCTGTCCATGTCGCCCGCCGTGGCCCCTATAACAGAGCGGTCCGCCGCCGGGCGCCCCACAGACCCGGTCCGCCGGCTGGGCCGCAGGCTGCTCCAGTACTCCGACTACGACTCCGACTCCGACTCGGCTGACTACGGCTCGGGTGTGCTGGTCAACGACTCGGCTCTGGACGCGCTGCTGGGCGCTGGCTCTGTGGCCAGCGTCAGCCCCACCGAGGCACAGGACGGCACCACCATGTCACCGATTGAGCTCGTGCAGAGCGTGTGGAGCCGTCCGACGCAGCCGCCGCTGACCGACGTACTGGGCACAACCGACGGTCCGTGCCTCGCCACACTCCCGTCTCCGCCCCCGCACCGACCCTGCTTGTCGATACACTGCTGCCCAATGGCCCTGTAGAAACTGTCGGATTAATCGATTGACTGCGTCTCAATCACTCCAGCCTTCGATGTTTTATTTTTTTTCAGATTGTTTCCAGCGGCATGGTGATCCGGCTTGATGTTTTCTTCGCTTCGTGATTGAATTTTGTTTTGTTACCAACGTTGTGCATGTTTTGATCGACGATTTTCCTTATTTTATGTATTTCTGTCTTCACGCAAGTGTTTACATGGAAATTTCTTTGAACGGTCTTACATTGAACCGCTCGTCTAGGATATGCATGTTAACTTTTCTATGGTGTGTTTCGTACATCAGGTTCTTTTGAGTTATGGTTCTTTTAATTGTAAAAATGATATTTCAATTTGTCTTCACCATCTTCCCACACCTTTTTAAAATGCGAGGCTCTAATGAAGCGGAAGACGTAAAAACTAGTATTTAATTTCGTTCACTATCCTTTGAATAATGAAGCTGATCGTAAGTGGATTCGGTTTTAGTTATGTTGCTTACACAATACACATAGGTAGTTGTGACATCGCTTTGTTCCACTAGCATTTCACTGTTAATAATTAAAGTTGCTACAGTAATTAGTAATGGGTCCTTTACCGGTGTACCTACGATAATGATTTGTTGCTTGATTTGCCGTCCCGAGGTAACATTCTAACGTTGTCGTTTATCCCGGCAGGTGATCCCGTGGCGGCCGCTGACAACTTCACCTGCGGCCGGGTCAACATCATGGGCGCGATCGTGCGCGACGCCTCGCCCTACCTGTTCCCGCTGATGATCGAATACTCTCTGATCGGCGCGGCGGTGCTGTACATCATGTGGCAGAACATCGGCAGGTGCCCGCGCTACCTGGAGGAGGACGACATCCCCGACCATGTCAGCGTCACCAGCCGAAAGGCGCACACCAAGGTGGGGAGGAGCGCTGCCCTATGATCGGTTTACATCTCCCATATTGACGATACTGGCATCCGCAGCCTTGTAACTTTGCCAGTTGCCACCGTGCATTGCCGGCATCAATCAGCGAGCATCATGTCGATGACATACATCAGACTCCTTCTATCCATTAGCATATAAGTAGTTACACAACTCCACTAGCCATCAGCCAGACAATACCGACATCTACCAGTCACCATCATAGACAGTCCGACACCTAGCGGGGAGTCTGGAACACGAACTGCGTCCGGCACGGAACAACGAACAACACATCAATACTTTCGAAACATGCGACTAGATTATATCTCGATTCGTGCTATCTACCTCGCTGAAGTTTAATTTGTTCATTTGTTCGTGTTTTTATTCTGTAATTACGGGCCGATTTCTGAATCTAAGATGATCAAGCCCTCAACCGTCTTTCTCCCAGATTTGATAGTGATCTGTGTTGATCTCCGTTCCTCAGGTGGACTGTATCGGCGCCTCGAAGGGCCTGTTCTGCGGCCTCCTGGTGCTGGTGGCGGCCATAATCTGCCTGGTCCTCTACTTTGTGCTGATCGAGAGAGAGGAGTACGAGAAGATGGCCATCTTCCTGGCTGACACAAGCCACGCCGGCATCCTGTTCCTCATGCTGCTGGCCACGCTGGTCGGATTCATCAGGTCAGTTCAAGGCGAGATTCAGATGCCGGCTGAGGGTACTCAGAGTCGTATGTCTCGGAACACCGGAGCTCGGCTCTGCCCGTGTAGCCAGTCCGTCTGAATGTCGTTTGGTCGCAGGGCAAACACAATGCACTCGGCACTGCTCAGAATTCGCTAATGATCTCCGTCTGTCCCTCTCTCCATTCCTCCTTCTCTGCCTTAGTTCCTGCCCTGTTCCGTCTTACAATTTCTTTATTTCTGCTCGCTAATGATATATCAGCTTCTTTCATCTAATTAATTCTTCGTTGCCTCTGCGCCGTCTCACCATCCTTTTTCTTTCTTTTTTAAAATATCTAACTCAATATCTTTCCTCCCACAGAAACCGTAAGCTGAAGTTTGCGCAGGACAAGCCGGACGAGCTGGACGCCATCCTGCAGCGTGTCTCCGGGTTCGGCCTGTTCCTGTACTCGGTGTTCTGCGTCATCTCGGCGGCTCTCTCACCACTGCCGCATGTACCGAACCTGCTGGTACTGATCACGTCGTCACTGGTCATACTGCAGGTCAGTCGGTCATACTGCAGGTCATAATGCAGTTCAGTTGGTCATACATCAGGTCATGCTGCAGGTCAATTAGTCAGACACCAGATCAGTTGGTTAACTGTAGGTCGTTCAGTTGATGCAGATCAGGTGCCCAATGGTCATTTTTTTTTTTTTTTTGCTTTAGATAAGCCGATCAGGATTAGCCGAAATCCGTGTAGATATGCCTGCCGCTGCAAATTCATGACATTGGTCGATGAATCAGACAATGGTATAGCGAGTGCCGGCCACCGGCTTCCGTCACCACACATACACCTAATCACCGCCTCCCCTCCTATTCCTCACCCTCCCTCTACCTCTCTCTCCCCACCAGCACCTCCAAAATCACCCACCTCCTCTCCCCCCTCCTCGATTCTTCGCACCACCATCGACCGTCTATTAGCGCCGTCATTGGGTCTCCGCTCTGCGCGCCGCGTACCGTGTCTGATTGAGACTGCCCGCCCGCCGCCCCGACCGCACAGCTGCGCGCAGTTGCGTGGCGCCAGTGGAGCTTGTCGAGAGGGATGATTGCGCCCATGTCTCTTGAGAAAGTCGATAGGAGACAGTGGGATAGGTGGTAATGATAGCAGTGTCATTTTGTTTCATTGTTCGGCACCGATTCGGTTGTGTCATTCGTCCATCGATGAGAATGTACAATGTGTTTGGATTTTACAACATAAACTCGGAGTTTGATTTCATGGATCTTGAACTCGGGTCATGATGATCACGTTGAATCATGTTCGGATCAGCTATGAATTTAGTTCGACCTTTTTTAATGAATCGATTATCGAAGCCAAATCCGACGCTAATCACAGCTCGCCGCGCAGGTCCCGACATCGTACAGTCTGGTAGTGAAAATTTGGGCTGGGAGGATTCCGAATTTAGAATTTAGCTGACCACGTAGCTGAAGACGATTTGTTCCACTCTCCGACCTCACTTGGCTGTGGCCGCTCCCACAGACCGCAGGCCAAGAGTCTCAGGAGTCTCACATATCGACCGCAGTAGCCATTCAAACCTGAGCTCTCACTACCAGGAACCTGATGACCTACCGAAAGGATAAATGTACTCGTAGATGCTGCATTCCTGTTTTGTGAAGAGGTCCATTGGAATAATAAATTTCAACAAGTTTTTCCTCCGAGTTTTCAGTGTCCGTTTTAGTGCTAGGTAAATGACCGTTGCTGTCTATCAAGGTATTTTCTCACAGCAGTGGATCACTGAACTTGCTTTCACCGTAGTTTCTATATTCTTCTAAACTATTCAACAAATGTTACAGCGTTATAAACGTTGCAACTTGCATCGGTATTGAATGTCTCCAAATTTCCCGTTAACTTGGCATTGGGCTGGTCGTGCTGACCGTTTACTGCATCTGCTCGTAACCGTACAAACCCCAAGCCATGTTTTCAAGTGTCAGCTGTGCAGGGCTATGGTAACCCCGTCCCAAGTTCAATGCCATCCCCTCGCTTCTAACGCCCCCTGGTCTCGTTGTCTTCAGGTACTATTCCAACTTCTCTACGTGGCCGACGTATCCAAGAGGGCCGTCTACCTGCCGGAACACGACCTCAGCAAGCCGGGACGTCAGGTGGTCACCTTCCTGCTGCTCTGCAACATCGCCCTCTGGGTCGTCTACACGTTCGAGATCAGGAAGGTCGAGGCCGACCCCGTGCAGGTGAGGAAGAATTGTGTGTGTGGGGGGGGGGGGGTCCGCTGTGGGCAAGGAGAGGAGTTGCATGTGGGAGTAAACATATCTGGTGGCGCTGCATTGGTCACTCTTTGAAATCCCGCCATGGAAAAGTCTGATAAGACGTGCCCAATGTTTTTGGCGAAACGTGGAAACCCGTGTGAGTGGTCTAACGTACCGTTTCACTAGCTAGTAACAGCCTGTCTGTAATCCATATAGCGTGCAGTGTGCTAAGTCATATGTCGCTCTCAGTCGCAGAAGCACTCACAAGTAATCCAAAATGGTACTTAGAACCAGTTTATCATACCTGCGAGTATAAACCCGCCCTAGTCGACACCTAACCTAACTGTGCCCCCGTTGTTTGTGTCCGCAGCTGAACTTTTACGGTCCGCTGCACTGGGCGGTGCTGCTGCGCGTCACCCTGCCGCTGGCCATCTTCCACCGCTTCCACTCGGCCGTGGTGCTGGCTGAGGTGTGGAAGTCGAGCTACAAGGCGCGCGCCGACTGAGCGCCCCAGCGCTGACTCCACCAACAGCTCCACACTCCCGGTCGGGGACGGACGCGCGCCGCTCGCCGCGCTGTTGTATGTGCTGCTGCGCCGTTCACTGTGTGCGTGTGTGTCGCCGAGTCTCTCCCCGACGAGCTGCTGCTTCACTCTGCGCGCCCCGCCCCGACTAGGGATGTGTGTTTGTACATGTACAACTCATCTCATGTTTGCTGCAGTGTAGCTGCGGTGGCGCGGCGGCCGTCCCGCCGCGGGCTGCGATCCCTAGTCCGGTGATCCCTCGTCCGGTCGACGGGCGGTCGCCGCCAGCGTACAAAAGGACGTCTTCTCTCTGGCCGGCCCCGGCGCCGGCTCCGGCGAACCAGTCCCGAACGGCCACCCGATTCCGGAGACGCTTTCACTGCCAGCCGCGGACGGGCCGGCGCCGCGGGCAGTCTGCCGGGAGCCATTAGCAAGACGCCCACTGGCCGGCCGCCTAATGCTCTCACGCTACTCACCCAAGCTGTACATAGGCGCGGCGCGGCACTTTGGGGTGCCCAGCGCCGCCCGCTTTCGCTTTCAGTTTTGCTACTGTACGCCGTGTTTTGTACCGTATTTGATATAGGTGCAGTTTTGTACCGCGAATGCTGGATGTCGCCGAGCGAATTGTGCGTGTGGGCTCAACGTCGGTCTCGTTGGCCGGTCGGACGGCCGTCTATTCTAGCAGCAGCTGCGGCAGCACGACGTGTAAACTAGTCATTATCGGGTGTGTTGAGGTGGACGTGTGAACCCGGCCACCAGCTCCCGACTGAGGCTGCCGAGACGGCGGTCAATCCAATACTCTCCGGCGCCGGGCCGATCATACCGATATTACCCAAGACCAGTGCTCCCGCCGAGTACCCGGAAAATCGGTCGGAGGACATCGCGTTCCATGATGAACTTTCGATGTTGACGACCGGGAGCGCGGAGTTTACGATGCAGTTTAGTGGCAAGGCTGGATCATGTGGCATTGTGGGAGACTGGGGAGGGGACGATCCCAGCGTCTGTGGGACAGATCTGCCGTTTGGAGGTGTGGGGGAGGCGGCCGGTGTTATATTCGGGCCGGTCGGAAGGGGAGGGGGCGGGGGCGACTCTCGCCGCGCTGTCAGTTCATGGGTCCATCGTCTGTGTGCTCACCGCCGCGCCGGCGCGCGCTAGCTAGCTTTTGCCTATGGCCGCCGGTCGATTCTTTGTCTTTGGTAGTAGCTGGTAGTGACGTGCTGGACGGTGGCGACGCCGCCCTGCGCCGGCGGCGACCACTTTATTGCTGCTTTACTAGCCGTACGTTGTCGGTACTATGGTGTCAACCCCGTGAATGTTCCACAATAAAACGTTAAAGTCACAGAGGGATTTATGGAATTTAATTCTGCGGTGCTGGATACCACTAATGTGCAAAGGAGCGTTCACAGCCTATTATAGCCCAGCTTGCATTTTGTGTAACTTGCCAACTCAGCGAGTCTCCAGACCTTTCGCTTAGATATTGCAATGTGGTCATTCTTATTAACGTGTGAGCCTTACGTACGCCTTAGTTACTACATTCTATTTCTGTCGCTGTCTTTGCCACGAATACCGCTACGAAACCACTGACCAGTGACCACTACCGTCACAGCCACTGAAGGCAGACTGATTTTCGATAGTTGCATTATTCCTCCTCGTCATCGAATAGAAGCATCTACATACCTCGTCAACGAGGTAACAGCTTTTCTATTTGCAGTAGTGGTCGAGGCGTGTGAGAAAACTGAGCGTACGTATCGGCTACAATACGGTTTTGTTCGGTTGTGATCGTTATGACTTGCATGTTTGCGCTTTAAATCTCCTTAACACACGACTTGAGGCTGTCAGTTCGGTTGTGGATCATCTTCCCAGCACAATAGCCTATTTATTAGACTACACACACGCATGCCTATGTCCTATTAGACCTGTTCGAGATAAATTTGGTACTTTGATACAACTGACATAAAATCTCACCTTATGACCTTATGACAAGTGTGCACACTTGTCAAATAATAGTGAAATAGTCATTACCGTATGTGTATGATGATAATTTATCGTTAGCGAGAACCTATTGTACGTTTAGTGCGTACTTCTCTGTGTATGGCTGAAGTTAGCTTGGGCTCTTGCTCCAACAGAGCCCACGGACCAAACCATTATCAGTTCGTAGTGCACAATTCCTTGACGAGTGTTGTGACAAGGCATATTACACACTGCGTAGTCGCTAATTCGTTCAGTTTATGTTTTGGTCGCCGTCCGATGCACCCTGTCGCTCACTGTCGCGACTCGGCGCCCACCCCACGGAACGGTGTCATGCCTGGGATACGTGACGGTAATTAGTTCGATAAACTGCCGGTGAAACTCACAGCGATCCGTGTGGCAGCGCGTCCCATGACGTGCAGCCTGCACGCGCGCTCCGACATCTGGGCTGACGAGCGGGCTCTGAGAGCGAACGACAGCCACGGCGTCCCACGGATCAGTGGCGCTGAACATTGCACGGGAAGCGGCCGCAGACGCTGCGCCGGGTGGGACAAAGATGAGCACTGCAGAGATACGGAACTGTTTGGGAAGTGTCAGGGAGATTGAAGATGGATGATTCATACTTACATGGACGGATAGACTACTGTTCCGCTGGGGATGGCGGATAGGCTACAACCGAATAGTTTTGCTAAGCCTTACGTTTATCCTAGTTGTATGTGTCTTTTTCCTTTTAAATGCGCATTCAAAATCTCGTCATGATTTTTTTCTCGTGAATTGTGAAAATAGCGGTCGTCGACTCGAGTTCCGGTTGCTTGAATTCATCTTGAATTGCACTGAAGTCCACATACAAAATATTGAAAGTCATATAGGGAAAATGTCTGCCCATGCACGATGATTATCACACTCTTTCTGTTTTTTTTTCTTCAACTCATTTATTTCTTCTTCAGAGCCTTCCGTCACGTCCGATTCAGTTTTCACTAAATGACGATGTGCTTTTGTCTTCTAAATCGTGAGATCGGGATTTTCCAGCTGAAGGCGTCTATACAGCCCGAATTTCTGTGACAGCGCAGATACGAGATATCTTGAGATATGGGTCCTCAAGTCAGCGCCGTTTCACACTTTCTCGTTTATTTGGCATGGGTTCCTCGTAAAGTGTTTTTATCGTTTCTCTCCCCCCGGTTTTTATGTATTTACCTATTCATAGATAACATGAATCCCCAGTCCCCTACAAATACGAGGATGAATTCGATAATCTCAGGCTACCTAGGAGATTGTAAAAAGACTTCATAACCATCGCCAATAACCAGTGGTTTCCGCATTCGATAGGATGAGCGATAAACGATAAACGATAATTATCGCTGTTAAGCAAATCGGTTATAGTTATCGTTTATCGCTAAATTTTCAAAATTATCGCTCATCCACTTATCGCAAGTTACAAAAATTATGAACGATAAACGATAAAATGTAAAACGGGATGTTTTACATTTTATCATATTTAGATCAGAAGAAGGTCCGTGACCGAAAATTCATCACTTTTTTGTATCTTATCGAATAGCAACGAATACCAACGAATAAATATTTAGCTTTTTCGATTTTGGTAGTTTCAAGGAGATCCGGTCATTAAAACTTGTGTATTACGCTTGTATTATGCTCCTTGCTCAAGCACTCAACAGAGTAAAACGGGATGATGGAAAAATGGAAGACGATCGATCGACAGTGTGCCGCGCGACAATATGTGTGCGCAACCTGTTGCCATCTGCTAAGTGTATATATCTGCAAATAAACTTTAAGTACAGTTATTTAAGCTGTATTTCTCATCGCTTTTGTTATCGCTGTTAAAAACAATTATCGATCGTTATCGTTGTATCGTTTATCGTTTCGTTATCGCTTATCACCATATGCGCGAGAGTGACGTAAAGATTAAGCATGATACGATCCCACTAACATTCCGTGCGAGACTGATACGACAATGATTTCAAAACAATTACCGTTATCGTTTTTATCGTTTTATCGCTATCGCTGTTAATTTTTTGCAAATTTTTATCGTTTATGGTTTATCGTTATCGCAAACCTTACTTATCGTTTTATCGTTATCGCAGGTCCGAAAATCAGTTATCGCGGAAAGCACTGACAATAACTTCACGTCTATACTCTTCACCATATGCGCGAGAGTGACGTAAAGATTAAGCATGATACGATCCCACTAACATTCCGTGCGAGACTGATACGACAATGATTTTTCATCGATTATAAACGATCGGAATAACGAGCAGCGGGACACATGATAACTCATGATCTTTTGGTGGTGCAGCTAATTGAGAAGCTGTTGTTACATATATGTACATATGTACAGTCCACAGCAGAAGTAATGTGTGGTTTCAGTCATGGGTATGTTCTGCTTCTGAGGCCTAGGAACGATTAGCCAGACTGCAACGAGACTTTAACCCTATTCCTGGCGGGGGGGGGGGCTCAGGAGCCCCCCTCCCCTGAGGTTTTTTGGTTATATCTCCCAAACGCTTTGAGCTAGGAAGCTCAAATTTTCTGACTTTTTCTAAAAGGCTTTTACGCAACATTTCTGAAAATTTTGAGTTGATCTGACCTCAGGTCAGGTCACCAGAGGCGGTTTGGTGACCCTACCTCAGAAAAGTTTGCAATCACGCCAGAGCTAGAGTTTTTGACCGATCAATTTCTTCTCTTCAGGCTTTAGTTAGGGTACCAGTATGTGCAATTTGTATATCTCAGAATTTTCATATCTGTGACCAGAGGTTAGGCCAGACTCGTGACCTTTACATTGCAAGCCTATGGGAAAATATTGAAACGCCTCCTGCTTCGTGTAAACGAGTCAAAACCACCCAGTTCTTTCAGTATTATGGAAGATTATCTCATCGGTGATGATCCTGGTGCCGCTAATTGATAGGGGCACCGGCAAAGGTCATCTGAGGTCATGTGACGTCATAAATCGTTTTTCTGTCAATAAATCACGACATGATGGTGCTAAAGACTTGTAAGTGGTACCAAACTGCTCGCCTGGTCAAGGCGCGTCGTTTGGTATGCAGCATGACCATACCCCACAACCTCATTGATGAATGACCTGACCTTGACCTCAGGTCAAATTTTAAATTGACCTGTGAAGGTCATCACATACTTATTTCGCATCGCCTCGGCGAGAGCAACAAAAAATGTATTGGTTTTATGTCTCTATGTTTCTTAGTTTAAAAGTTATATAGGTAACTAATTCCAAAACATTTTATCGTTGATGACCTCTGGTGACCTCAATATTGACCTGACCTGAAAATGTTTTATGTAAAAGTTGTAGATCTTTAAACGACCTATCAAACGCCGTTCGCCGTTTGTCGCTGCGATGTGTAGTTTTTGAGATCTGAAGGGGGGGGCCGAATCGGCCCCCCCCCCGCCAGTTTCTTGTCCCGGCGGAGCCCGCCAGGAATAGGGTTAAATGTAGCTTACATATATCTTCACCCTTGCAGCTACAACTTTATCTATTGACGTCTTCTTTTCAATCAGTCCGCATTTAAAAATCGTCGGTCAAAGCCATCCGTTGAGATTGGTAAAACCACACATTACTGTAGCGGTGGGCTGTACGCTCCGCTGACTCATGCCGTGTATTTGTGATAACGTGCATGTAAATAATCGAGTTGTGCTATTGAACGTTTTATTTTCTGGCTTGGCCGGATTAATTAGGCGAACGCAAGACGACCCCACCCCGCGATGCATTACACAATACACGTAGTTATCAATCTTTCACCATCAATATTTCTTACCGATCAAAGAATAGTCAGTTGCCAGGTGAATGTTCTCGAGTGATAAGAGGGTGGGTAAAGGAAAGGTAAGTGGAGAATTATGCTTACACATAGTTGATAGGCACACCAAAAACACCAAAATCTTGTTTAGAAGGCGTTTTATTGAGCAATGATATAGTGTATCTCGGTACATGATTCAGCATATATGTACAGTACAACGCACAATGCACATATATTACATTCATACAAATAACATGGCAACAAGGCGTGCCCAGCGTCGCTGCAATTGAACTGGTAACGTTTTTAAATCATTTAAACGGTGGGATTCCGTTCGGTTTGTGTTATTGACCGGATTGTTAATTGTTTATTTGTTTATTTATTGGCATAGCGTCCACAGGCAAAGCCCCACTTACGGATGCAGTCGCACGGATGTTTCGACTGTTCCTCGGTGAGACCTCTCTCGGTGGCGCCGCCATGAGATAACTGGAATCACACGGCTGGCTGACCACAGACGGTGGAGACGGTGCAAAGACGGCTTTCACCCCCACACCGGCGACGGGAGCAGACGGCCACGGATCGCGACAGATGGCGGCTGTTCGGCTCTCCGCGAGATGACATGACACACACACACATAATAGTTTGTTACTGCCGCACAGCGGAAAACTCGTCACTGAGAGACGTGAAACACGAACGGTCTCTACGCGTGGGACAAACTGCCGTTTGCGCAGATGTGTGCTGGTATAAATATAACTTTTTGATGTAACAATTAAATACGCTTTCGAAACATTTTTTGATGATCACTGAGGTGTTGAAATAGTTCTATGTTCACAGTACGGTCCCTTCTGCCGTCCAAATTTGCCAACCGTCTATGTACATATATGTACTGCCACTCCTTCTGCTCTCAAGCTCTTGCCCCTCATGCTCACGCCTTTCAACCAGTCTTTCCCACTGTTCAAAATTGTTCTCTTCTGTCGCCGTTGTGCTCACGCCTCCTGTCCCATCTCCCCACTGTCCGCCGCCATGCCGTCAGGCTGCACTGTCGAAGCCGTCAGCTCAGAACCGGCCGTGGCCAGTGAGTAGAGCGGCCCCGGCAGCTGGGGCGGCGCGTACCGCAGCGTGGGCCGCACGCGCTCAAACAGCGGGTGCTCCCGGAACCCAGCGTGCTCCGGACGCGGGTGCTCCGGTCGCAGATGGACCGGCCGCGGGTGACCCACTGGGTGCTCCAGCTTTCCCTGACGGTTCACCCCGAAGTTCTTCTCGTTCTCTTGATAAGCGTTGGCGATCGCTGCGATGAACGGTGCCGGGTTCAGCGACTTAGGCTGCCGGGACGAGGAGTGCTCTTTTGGCTCGTCCTCAGAGTAGGGGAACCTGTGTGCGTACGGGCGCGGCTCGTGGTACGCCGGCGGCGGGGGCGGGGGCGGCGCGTGGTACACGGCCGGCAGCGGCCTCAGGTACACCTCGGGCGGGGGCGGCGGGTAGTGGGCGGCCGGCGGCGGCGGAGGCGCGTGCTCCGGCTCAAACTGAGCGTTCACGCGCTGGTGGACCTCCAGGAACGGGTCGGCGTGCGGCACCGGCTCCGGTCGGGCGTGACCCCGCGGTACGTACACGGGCGGCGAGTACGGCTCCGGCCGCGGACCGTCGTACCCGTGGTACGGGTACCTCGGCCTCGGGTACGGCACGTACTGAGCCGCCGGTCGGTACTTGGGATGCTCGAAGATCTCGTTCGGGTGGCGACTGCGACCGGATGGCGCCGAGGCGAACGGAGGTCGCATCTCGAAAGGAAACGGAGAGTTGTAGTCCCGGTAGTCATCGTGCTTGTAAGGCGTGTAGTCTGCCAATGGAAACGCCAGCTTTAGAACGATCAAATACTATCAGTTACCAGTGTTTGCCACACATCCTCGCACCATGAATCATTCGACATAGCTTACTCATTCTATGCAACTTTGTAATTTTAATATTCCCTGAAACATATGGGAGTGGGCTTACCCATTTACTTTCTCTCTCCCTAATAGTTGGACTTGCACAATCAGCAAACGGCAGAACCGCCGATTATGCGAAATATGCCGAACATTTGCGGTCTCATCCAATTGGACGATTAGCTGAGCCGTGCTCTGTATCCCGCCGCCGCAGTTTGTTGTGGTCGCGCTCTGATCCGAAGGCAGCAGTGCAGTGGAGGTGACTCACCGTCACGGTAAATGACGCTTCGCTCCGCCTTAGAGCCTCCATCCGATGCTTCGGATGCGTCGTTTGCTTGTGTCAGGAGCTGCGCGTTGTCTGAGACAGAGAGAAACAGATGTCAAATGATCCATCAATCTTGAGATGGGATACTTCAGCCCAGGTCACGGTTTCCAATATCCCTCTGGTGTTATCCTACCCCCGTTTATTTGTGTATCTATTGAACGTATACACTATAGTAATGAAGCCTTAGCCATTGACAATTAACAGAGTTATATTACAAAGCTGATTAAACAAATGGACCGTGCGGCATGCACCGCGAGAAGAGACCATTGATCCCAGCTGAGCCACGTAAACCCTAATACCCGCTCCAGCGCATCGATGTGACGCGAAACGTCTCGGGCGACGCGCGTCGAAACATCGTGAGCGACGCGCGTCGTCACGGCTCGGTTCCAATGGAGACCGAGGCCGGGGCGGTGACGATTCTGCCCGGAGGAAACTCTCTGCCGCCCCGGGTCCCACCGGGGATCGGTGGCGCGTGACACCCGAGTCCACACTTAGACCGCGCCGAGGACATAGTCATGAATTTCACTGGACATGTGAAACGGATCGTCAAACCTAGTCACCATGGCGTGACGAATTAAAGGTGGCCGTGTATCGCCAAGGCCGCCACAAGGGTGCTGTATTACGCAAATGGCCTGACAGTCCATATTTCAGTCAAAAAGTTCAACAATCGACATCAAGTTTCCGGCTCAGCTTATTTGCACATGTTTGACAGGGCCGAATTTATTGGAGTGCACACAATAACTTAACTTGACACGATGTATGGAATGAAATGCATGAGTTAAAAACGATGGTCTGGTAAAGATTATTGCACTTTTATGTAACCACCAATCGATTAGACCTTTGCCCTATATGTGCATATCGGGTCGAGGCTGCTGAGCGTAGCTACTAGAACGTGAAGTGGTTTCGAGCCAGTACAAGGCTGTTTCGTATATATTTAATTAATCATTTCGAGACTGTGAATTACGCACGCTGGTGCGATTTGCTGGGTGACTTTGTAACACCCGATGTCTAATGGATCCCGTGACAGGGGCACCCAGCACTTGGAAAGACAGCCATCCATTTCATCGTTAAAGGGACTATCCCACCTTCTAAAATGTTGTTAAAACCAGTTAAATTGTGCCCGACTTTATAGATTGGATGACCAGGAACACGATTCTGGCATTTATTTTTCATTAAACATCTTAGGCTTCCCATATTCCAAACACAAACTTTCAAATATGTGACGTCACAGCCCAAAATTACCTCCTTCCCCAGGCCACATTACTGTCAAAAAGCCGATTCTTTTTACTATGTAGGCACCACAACAAAGTTCAGACCAAGTTTTAAGCGATTTTTCAACGAACAAACCCAATTAAATCAGAATGACTAAACGAGGTGACGTCACACTAACGGTCGCTCCATGTTGAAGATAGGGCCTTGTACAAGGCCCATTTTCAAATGAAGGGAACGAATTTCTTCAACACCAAGAGGCCGCGGGGGTTGCAACCTAGATAGATAGTGGTTTCTGAACCTCGCCGCAAACTTGGCTATCTCAACTCAAACCCCATGTTAAAGGTGGGATAGTCCCTTTAAAGGGACACATTTTAAAGCATTTTATGATTTAAGAAATGATAACACTGACATTTGTTCCACAAAGTGTTAGGTATATATTTTTCAAACTGAGTTTTTTTTTAATGAAGAGGTCGCAAAATTGCCCTAGCGTCTGGTGAACGACGTAAAAACGAGATTAATGTTACCTACATCCCGTCGACCTTATCAATCGCTGATAATTTCAGAGCAATCGTTTGGTCGATGAGCCTGTCGCTTCTATCTTATTTATTTTATCATGTCGGATTTGCCTACTTACGAAAAAATGTTTTATATAAAGCACAATTTCTTTGTAATTTTAACCCGTTATTTCTTTTTTTACGAGGTTAACAAAAATCGGAACAAAGATCATCGAAGATGTGTAGCTCTATAAAGTTTTAACCTTATATATTTTGCGACTGCAAGGAAGCTATAAGCGTTTTACATTTCACTATAGTCAATGTTTAGATTGGCAGAGACCATTTTGGATAACGCTGAGAACACAGTATTATCATTCAAGGAATCGCTCGCAAAAAGGCATCAAATTATCCGAACTCAAGCTGCATATCTTCCAATGATAGGTACATATCTTTTTTCTGGATTTTTTTTAGCTTTCAAATTTGACCTTTTTGCATGCATCTCAGGCTGCATCATGTCGAAGTCATGTTGGTTTTGAGGGTTGAATGTAATTCCATGGATGATATAACACTGGATTGGTGTCTCGTGGAAATTAACATTGGGATCCGCGACATTGGGATCAGGCCTGCCATCTAGCGAGAGAATTATCGTAAGTTAGGAGCAAGCCGAATGAACGCCATCTCTCAGCATTATGACACACGTGGGTGTGGTGTGTTAGTTGGCTTGAAGTGCATATTCCCACGAGTTGGAGGTAATCTTACTGGTCCTGAGACGACAAAAAACGTCCTAAATGCTTGAAAGCCAAAAACGTCAAGCGGTCTTTAGGTAATAACGAAAATAAAATGCGTAAGACGGTGTGTATTGAAACGCCCAGTCACATCGGCTTGTACGACCTTTTATATGGTCATTTACTCACAATGGTAAAGCAGTTTGACAATATGTCACTTACATATTTGGTAGGTTCATTTCTTCTTCTCCGAATTACGCCCGATTTTCTTCATCTTAGTTAATGTTACGGCACGTGTCACGTGCCAACTTAGGGGTGTCGAAATTGTTCCACATAAAGTAACTCCGCAATGGCTGGGCCAATTACAGTAAAACTTCGTCAATAGTTAGGCACCCAGTGGCCAATGCATTTCCATGTGTCACTATGGGGGTGCTACTGCACGTGCGCACGTGCGGGGTGCCGCTTCCATATCTCAAGAACGGCTGGGCGGATAACACTCAAACTTGGTACACAAATGTCACATCGATGCTCGCACTGCATTGATCAGTGCTTACATTGGTGCAGAGCTGTTAGGAAAACGATGAAATGAGATGCGTGGTGTTTATGCCTTTCTTTTCCAGCAGCTGATTGATTCGCAACAGGAGATCCTTGTTTGCAAAGGCTTCGTCTCCCTTTTCCACCCCTTGTTTAAAATAGCATTAACAATGTACGAAGAAGATCACACATAAAAGTTGTTTTAGGCAGCTATCTTGGGCCAGGGCTGCGAAGTTGTAGTCAGAGCCAGCGGTTCTGTTCCGACTCGTAGTCGGTTGATTTTTAAAAGCTGTAGCCCGAGTATGAGTCGAACGTCACCGAAAAGTCATCACTCCACAGACTTACCAGGGCTGCAGGCGGAGTCAGAGTCGGAGTCTGCGTGAATTGACAGTTCTGCCCGGAGGAGTCGGAGTCGATATTTGGATACCGGAATCGGAGTTGGAGCCAAAGTTACTGAAATTTCATCGACTACGCACCACCGGTTGGGTCCTTTTCATAGAGCGTCTTGAATGACATATTGAGCGGCAATGACGTTAGCAATTCCGTTTAAGTTTTTCATTAGACTTATAGATAGTACTAACGTTCGTTTTGTTCTTTGATCGGACAATTTGTTTGATTTAGGCCAAGTAAAGACTCATGTGAAAAATAGCGAAAACGACACGTGCTGGCAAAGTCTCCAATAACTCCCTGTTTCACGATTTAATGAGGAAATAACATGGAACTGCTTATCTTATTACTGACCCTGCACATAAATCTATTAATTTCTTCGCTTTTACTGACATATAAAGACATAACCTTTTGAAAAATTGCACAACAAGCCTGCTACTACACCACACTCCCGTGTGTCACAATGCTAATCAGCGGCGTTCACTCGGCTTGCTCCTAACTTACGACAATTCTCCCGCTAGATGGCAGGCCTGAGCTCAATGTCGCCAAAAACTGCGAAGACACCAATCCATTATTATCTCATCCATGGTAATTCGAACAATCACTACGTTTCCATGACACGTCTAAATCGATTTAGCGAAATTTCACGTGCGTTTTTCTCGGAAACTATTTACCTTATGCAAAAAATGAGCGTAGATATGGTTTTAGCTAGCACCTAATCCTATATTTACATTTTTAAATTACGCCTAAATGCTATGATGGAGCAAATCCATTTTTCAAAATTGGCTTAGATTGTGTCATGGAAACGTAGCCAATGTTTGAAAGCTCCTGACATCTGGAGGCCTTTTACAGACCTTCACAGCGAAAGTGTATTCTCAGGAGCGTAGTTTAGTATTATAAGTTTCCCGACGTGCTTTGGTAGCGATGTGCAATGCAATAAATATGCATCATAATTATATGCATAATAGCTTTAGGGACTCAACCAAAGGAAAAACATTCGAAGCCACATACCTGTTTTGTCGTCACTGGCCAAACAGACTCCGGCCAGGAGGCAGATGGAGCAGAGATACGTGAACCAGCGCGGAGCCGCCATGGTGCGACCGAGGCGTATCTTCGACTGCGGATCGGCGGGTCCGTGCCGAGGTTTTACCGGCACCCTCTCTCTGAGGCCACCAGCCGAGCGGAACAGAGGCCCTGCGCCGCGCCGCGGCTCTCCCCGGCCGCTCCTTTCCCTCTCTTCTGTCTGTCTTCTCATCCTTCTCCTTTTCCTTTTCATGTCGCCGACTGTGCGCTAAGAAGGTTTGGTGACAGAGGCAGTCAACTGGACAATTTGGCCGACTGGCTATTCAAATGTGTGTGTGTAGGAGGGTAATGTGGCGGGCACGACTGATGCTTTATAGGCACGATCTGATCCATGATAGGAGGTAAAAAATGACAAATCGTGTTCCGCTGGAGCTTTTTTGTCAGCATCATAGAGCAGTCAGCAGACACAGTCACCAATCGGTTGTGCTTTCAGTAACTAATGCACTCTTGTGACTCTCCTCATGCGTAAAAGCAAGTCTATTGGACATTGGCCTATTTAAAAAACTGCAAAACTCGTCTTTTTCACTTTTCAAGAGAAAGGCTCTGAATCGGGATTGCAGTCACATGATTATGACACCCAGCCAGACCGTGCATCCTTCATCGTGCATTTGCAATCCGAATGGCCCACAAGCCACCTGCACTCCCCGCCACCCAAACCGCCGAAAGGTCGGGCCCATCACCGGACATATAAATGGTATAAATGCTACTTTATTCGACTGATAACAAAGTGCACCCTCCACAGTGAGCCGTATACTACAAAGCCTCCTCGACCCCACCGCAAGTGAGACAGATCAAGCAAAGCTTTAGTTCCGTCCCTCTGACGCCAGACGGCGCGGCGGTGTCCTCACACTCGGGTATGCCAGTTTCCAGTCGCCTCGGCACTCGATATATGAAACTTCCGCACAGGATAAGTCTGCAGTTGGTGTAGGAGTAGCCGCAGCAAGTTCAAGTCCGTGAATGGGATGGATCAAGCCCGAGCATGTGAGGACGTTTCGCTTGGATCCTCCAACTAATCAGAAATTACCGATCGGACGATGAATGTGGACCCTGGCTTCGTCAACCCTTTCCGGTCCAAACGGTCGAATTGTGATTTATGTACAAGTACGAGTGATTTATGTATTATGTACGAGCAAAACGTAGTCGATACTGCAAAAGAAAGTAGCCACCAACATGGGCGGCAAGCTCTCTGAAATATGACACTTCTATTTGATTTTACCAGGACAGAGCGAAACCAGGATATTTTCACTGCCATAAATGTGAGCTACGTGAATGGCATGGACCATGGATGCAGAGCCGTTGAAATTTCAGACGGCTCCGGCTCCGGCTCCGGAGAAAAAAAACGGCTCCGGTTCCGGCTCCGGCTCCGGGTGAAATGTCATGGTGGCTCCGGCTCCGGCTCCGGCTCCTAGTAAAATAATCCGGCTCCGTCTGCTCCGGCTCCGGCTTCTACTCAGTACATCCCCTATGCGATCCATTAAATACGGGTGGAAGAAAAAAGGCAATGGGATTGGTACTCGTTGCTTCTGTATTTGTATAACAAGGCTATTTTGAATAGGTACCACATTGTTTTACGCCTGGTACCTACTGTCAAAACGAACTAGGTAAATAATTTTTTCCTCTTAAAAAAGGAGCCGGAGTCGCCCCCTTTTTTGACGGCTCCGGCTCCGGTTCCGGCTCCGGGATATATTGTTTCACGGCTCCGGCTCCGGCTCCGGCTCCGGGCAAAATATGCCGGCTCCGGCGGCTCCGGCTTCGGCTCTGGCTCCGTCTCCACTAGAGATGTCAATCGGATAGCAACTTTTTGGTATACCGATACCAAATCGATACCAACTTGGTATTTGGTATTTCAATCGTAATGTGTTTGGTATTTTGTTGGTATCATAAACCCTCGCTAATGTAAAAGAGACTAAGAAATCGGTAAAAAGTTGGTATTTCCCTCATTTTCCCAAGTTGGTTTGGTTTCGGTATTTTCCCGTGGCTTTGATTGGTATTTGGTTTGGTATCGGTATTCCGATTTTCCGTAATTGACATCACTAGTCTCCACATCCCTGGAATGGACCCATCACGTTTTGTGATTCAGGTCATTCAACACATGACTTTTGGCTTCATGTGTTTCCAAGCGTACACTAGGTCATAGGAAATTTGGTTCGCAAATGTCATTTGCCATATAAAATAAATATATTGCTTTTGAAGCTTGTCGGGCCTCTGCTTAGTGTCTGACCGCAGATTTCTTTTTTATTCCTTTAATGACCAGAAGATATGACAGGATGTTCTGACGACAAATTTCACTCCATGCTGCAGCGCCAGCCCGCAATGTCATTAGCCATCGCGTGAACATCGTGGCCCATGACTGTATGGGACTATGGGCCCATACAACAGCCTACACTCTACAGTAATTGGTCCTTATTCGTGATAAGCTTCTTTGATCTGTTTCTGAGCACAGCAGGTCTGGAGCGGCGCAGCATAACTCACAAAGAGCGGTTAGCTTTTGCGGATTTGCGGATTTGCGGATATAGGTATATCACATTTGGGACTTATATGAGCCTATTATTTAGACATTTCATAGTAAATGGATACTGTAGGTGAGCCTCTTTGATCACACCGATGTTCAAGTTGTGTGGCTAGCACAATGTGCATGCATTGTAACTTTATGTATGCGGGCACGTGCATCGAGCGTGCATGTGACCGGCCGGTCACACAACGTGCATACCTACACGCACGTCCATGAAACCGTCACGCTCTGCATCGTCATCTCAGCTCCTCTATCCGACCGACCGACACGCATGTCGCCGCCGACGCATCGACACCGACGCGGGCGGGGTGGGGAGGGGAGCAGAGCGCCGTGAGACCCCCAGTCGGTCCGGCGGTGAGGCGGCAGTCGGCCGACGGACGGTGGCGGAGCGTCGGGTGGTCCAATCCTTTGGAGGAGGAGAAGAACAGGGAAGGGAGACATCTTGAGGAGCCTGATTGACAGATATCACTGATTGACTGCGGCCGAGCGGTGTGTAGGGGTGTGTAATTCAACGCTCGGTGTTACTGGAGACAGATTCGATCCCGACCCATCACTGTTCTGCAGTATTATCGGTGCAGCGCATGCTAAAGTGCACACCGGTGAAGAACACAGATAAAGCAGTTCAGCTCAACGGCGTCTTACCGTCTTTAGTCGGTGAGTTTTTTATACGACTCATGTAATGATGATTAGAGCTTGAAGGTTCGGGACGCTGAGTTTATTGTGGCCCTCGTGATTAATTTGGTCTGACACGGGCCGAATGCATCGACAACTTTGAACTTCATCTGCATAATTGTTTCATCAGTCGTTTCACGATGCTTCCAGATAAGTTTGTAAATGCCATCCTTTCGGTGTTTGACTTCTGTCACGGAAAATAAGAGGTTATGTATCATGTAGGTATGAGTAGATAATCTAAGAACTAGATATCTTAGCGAAAATGCGTATAATCGGAAAAAATTAATCCTTTAGTCGATGACCAATTCGGCTATACTCCTGGCTCGTTAAGTCCGACAGATGTGAATGGTATAGGGTATCATGCTCCCAAAGAGTAGACTGCGAAAGTGGACAGACCAGACCAGAGTTACCCCACACCGGTCAGTATACTCTGTCTAGCTATCATTGAGCGGGTGATAAATACTTATATCTTAAAGAGTCTTGCATATTTTAAATTTTATTTTGGTGATTCTTTTACTGAAATATTTTCCAGTTTTAATCAAAGGCGAATTTGTATTTTGATTACAGTTAGGTATCTTAAGTTATTCAGTTTTTTTTTTTAAACTGTGGGCCAGCTTTTACAAAAAAAAAAATCACCTGCCACAATATTGTAATATCTAGGTATAAGCTAGGTATAATCTAATTTAGTTAATTTAGTTAATCTAGGTATAAGCAATATTGTTTAATAATCTATGCTAGTTATAATAGTTATAATAGTGGTAATTAGGTAGTAATATGAATAGTATGGCAGTAGTTATATGATAATTTATGGTAGCAATGGTAGTTATAATGCCGTCTACACTCTACAGATAACTTACTTAACCCGCGCCGTGCTGGTGGCCTGAACTTTCCGCCGAGTACTGGGGGGGGGGGGGGCGTTTTCACGCCCCCCCCCCGTCTAACTCGGCTCCTGGACCACGTAGCGACAGACCTCACCTTAGGTCACAGATATAAAAAACCGAGACATACATTTTATACATACTGTTAGTCTGTTACTCATAGCAATCTCTGAAAGCTTCAAAGTGATCGTTCAGTCGGTGTACCTATAGAGAGCCTTTGAACTTTTTCTGACCTGACCTTGAACGACTCGGGTCTGATAAACGGCGGGGCGGAGCGCCGCCGTTTTTGGGACACCTGTTCATGCATCTTTTCTACACATGTTGTGAAAATTTTAGACTCAGGGCTCTCAAGGTCAGGTCACCAGGTCACGTCAAGTGACCTCACCTCAGAAAAAATTTGCTATACCGACTGAACGACCGCCTTGAAACTTCAGCGATTGATAAGAGTAACAGTATGTACAAAATGTATATCTTGGAATTTTGATATCGGTGACCTAGGGTCAGATCAATTTTGCGACCTCTCCATTATAAGTCAATGAAAGAAAATTGAAATGCGCCTATTTTGGGGCGAATGGTGTTCAAAACCCTCCCAAACATCGGTTCATAGGTAAACATGACACACTGAATCGGAAAAATGCACCTGTGGCCCCTCTGTGTGCCCCTGAGGTCATATCAGGTCATGAACGGTCACCAGCAGTTTTATTGGCTATAACTTTTGATAAGGACGTGCTAGAGCGATGAAAACACGTCAGATGTATTCAGCTCGACGATACAGATCGACTGATATGCAACATGACCCTTTTCGGACAGGTCATGACCTTGACCTGGGGTCAAATTTTCAAAATGACCTTTCAAGGTCAACAAATAGCTCTTTCGACGCGTCGTCTTGACGAGAGAAATACGATGCTACCAAAAGTAATGTCGTGGCTCTCTTGAGTCAAAAGTTATTGATGAAAAACTATTTTCGTGAAAACTGCTATTTTACAGTTTTTTACCTCTGAAGGCTAAACCGTTGACCTGAGGTCAAATCTGAAACTATTACTCAGAAAGGTCTATAAAAAGGCAATCGAATGCGCCGCCCCCCCCCCCCCCCCGGCCCGGCCGCGGAATCTCATAGCACCGGCCCGGCGCGGGTTAAAGAATAAAAATAACTATATAGTAAGATAATGAGCAGTCTCCGCTTGTTTAAAACTTCTTTTCTTCCAGTAAGTAAACGCAAAATGTATGATAGATATTTAGGTATATGTGCTTCACTGACAGATAAAGTAGAACGACCATTGAGCAATTTGTAGCTTCCTCGCACATTATGGGGAATGCGCCTGTACATAATGTTAATGGCCCGCATGTGTAAAGAAGAAATTATAAATGGCGCAATATCTCACTTGTAAGCAAAGATGTGTGGTAATATTGGAACCTTTTTTAGCTCTTCAAGCCCAGATGGTGTTTTATTGACTCGTAGAAACCACTCTTGCTCGCGGATGGGGCGATTCCCATTGAGTTCATCACTCACCGCGCGGTCATCTCTCATCGTCTCTCATCGTAATGTATTCCGGCTGTCAACGGACGACCGAGGGCGTCTCGGCCGGCCTGCCATCCGGCCCCTCCTATCTGGCAGCGCATTTGGCAGCGCTCTGCTGTGACAAACGCAGCAGCGCGGCGGGGTTGAAAAAACGATACAGTCACCCTCCGACTGTCCGTATGTCATTATGCCACTGTCATCTGTCGGTCCGTCTGTCTCGGAGATCACTAGCACTTTTGCGCTTGTTGCCTAAGTATCCATGTCATTCGTAAATGAGCCGTGCTGATTACCTCTGGTTGTATGCTGAC